GTGGGTTTTAAGTAGGGTTTTATAAGTGGGTTTTAAGTAGGGTTTTATAAGTGGGTTTTAAGTCGGGTTTTTATAAGTGGGTTTTAAGTCGGGTTTTATAAGTGGGTTTTTAAGTAGGGGTTTATAAGTGGGTTTTAAGTAGGGTTTTATAAGTGGGTTTTAAGTAGGGGTTTATAAGTGGGTTTTAAGTAGGGGTTTATAAGTGGGTTTTAAGTAGGGGTTTATAAGTGGGTTTTAAGTAGGGTTTTATAAGTGGGTTTTAAGTAGGGTTTTATAAGTGGGTTTTTAGGTTGGTTTTAAGTCGGGTTTTATAAGCGGGTTTTAAGTAGGGTTTTATAAGTGGGTTTTAAGTAGGGTTTTATAAGTGGGTTTTAAGTAGGGTTTTATAAGTGGGTTTTAAGTAGGGTTTTATAAGTGGGTTTTAAGTCGGGTTTTATAAGTGGGTTTTAAGTAGGGTTTTATAAGTGGGTTTTAAGTAGGGTTTTATAAGTGGGTTTTAAGTAGGGTTTTATAAGTGGGTTTTAAGTAGGGTATTATAAGTGGGTTTTAAGACAACCACGCCTTCAGGAGCAGCTTTAAGTAAGTTTTTTTGTTTGTTTGGTTGTTTTTTGTTTTCTTTCCTTCGCTTTCCTTCTTTCTCTTGATTTTCTTATTTTCTTTTCTTTCTTTTCTTCCTTTCCTCCCCTTTTCCCCTTCTTCCTCTTCCTCTTCTTCTTTCTTTCTTCCTTTTCTTATTTTTTCTTATTTTCTTCCTCTTCCTTATTTATCTTATTATCTTCCTTTTCTTATTTATCTTATTTTCTTATTTTCTTCCTCTTCCTTATTTATCTTTTTATCTTCCTTTTCTTATTTATCTTATTTTCTTCTCTCTTTTTCCTTTTCTTCTTTATTTATCTTATTTTCCTCCTCTTCCTTATTTATCTTATTTCTTCTTCTCTTATTATTATTTCTTCCTTCCCCCCCATTATTCATTTTCTTCCTCTTTCCTTTTCCCTTCCCCCCATTATCTTCCTCTTCCCTCTCCATTATCATTCTATTCCTCTTCCCCCATTTATTCATTCTCCTCCCTTCCCCCATTCTCTCATTCCTCCTCCTCTTCCCCCATTATCTCATCTCTTCCTTCCCCCATTTATTCATTCTCCTCCTCTCCACCCATTTATCTCATTACCCTCCTCTTCCCCCATTTATCTCATTCTCTCCTCTTCCCACCATATCTCCTCTTCCTCCTCCTCTCTCCCATTTATCTCATCTCTCCTCTTTCCCCCATTTATCTCATTTCCTCCTCTTCCCCATTTATCTCACTCTCCTCCTCTTCCCCCATTTATCTCATTCTCTTCCCTCTTCCCCCATTTATCTCATTCTCTTCCTCTCCCCCATTTATCTCCTCTTCCTCCTCCTCTTCCCCCCATTTTATCTCATTCTCCTCCTCTTCCCCCATTTATCTCATTCTCTTCCTCTTCCCCCATTTATCTCATTCTCCTCCCCTTCCCCCATTTATCTCATTCTCCTCCTCTTCCCCCATTTATCTCATTCTCTTCCTCTTCCCCAATTATCTCATTCTCTTCCTCTTCCCCCATTTATCTTCCTCTTCCTCCTCCTCTTCCCCCATTTATCTTCCTCTTCCTCCTCCTCTTCCCCATTTATCTCATTCTCCCTCCTCTTCCCCCATTTATCTCATTCTCTTCCTCTTCCCCCATTTATCTTCCTCTTCCTCCTCCTCTTCCCCCCATTTATCTCATTCTCCTCTCTTCCCCCATTTATCTCATTCTCTTCCTCTTCCCCCATTTAATCTCTTCCTCCTCCTCTTCCCCCATTTATCTCATTCTCCTCCTCTTCCCCCATTTATCTCATTTTATCCCCCCAGAGAGGCCGTGTCCATCGCCCGCCGCCTGGCCAAGGACCGCGAAGAGGGCCTCCTCTTCCTCCTCCTCTTCCCCCATTTATCTCATTCTCTTCCTCTTCCCCCATTTATCTCATTCTCCTCCTCTTCCCCCATTTATCTCATTCTCCTCCTCTTCCCCCATTTATCTCATTCTCCTCCTCTTCCCCCATTTATCTCAATTTTATCCCCTTCCCCCCATTTATCTCTTCCTCCTCCTCCTCTTCCCCCATTTATCTCATTCTCCTCCTCTTCCCCCATTTATCTCATTCTCTTCCCTTCCCCCATTTTATCTCTTCCTCCTCCTCTTCCCCCATTTATCTCATTCTCCTCCTCTTTCCCCCATTTATCTCATTCTCCTCCTCTTCCCCCCATTTATCTCATTTTATCCCCTTCCCCCATTTATCTCTCCCTCCTCCTCTTTCCCCCATTTATCTCATTCTCTCCTCTTCCCCCATTTATCTCATTCTCTTCCTCTTCCCCCATTTATCTTCCTCTTCCTCCTCCTCTTCCCCCATTTATCTCATTCTCCTCCTCTTCCCCCATTTATCTCATTCTCTTCCTCTTCCCCCATTTATCTTCCTCATTCCTCCTCCTCTTCCCCCATTTCTCTCATTCTCC